GTAGTCATCCCCACTTAAGCGTCCATTCGCTATCCTCGCCAATTCTTGAAATTGATGATTATTAGGATGCGATAGCTATTGAAACAAATAGACATGCAGCACAGATGCTAAATAGTGAAAATTACAAAAAGAAAAAATACAAAAAGAGGAGTGAAACTACTTGGGAGTGTGAACTTTGTTTGGTAGCTTTACATATTCCAGAATGTTTCAAAAAGTCATCACACTGAAATAAACTATTAATACATATACAATCTCTTGTTTGTTTACTAAAGAAGTATTTTTAGAAAATTTATCATTAACAAATAGTAATACGTTATATTTTTCATTTTTCTCTTTACTACCATACCACCATATCATCTAGTCAGCTTTCCAGTGTTTTCTGAATCATTTCTATACTGCATTGCCCGAGTGCATTTTGTCCAGAAAATATACATAATGACTGCCGTGCGAATGGGTTAAGCGGGGATTACTGTACTGTGTTTAGATGCAGCGTCATGACTTCATGGACATGATGAAGTAGCACGGATACTTTACCAGCTGTGAAAACGCCAACGCGGAGACACCCATCTGGAATTCAGTCATTCCGAACACGTACAAAGTGAGCAAAGTCTCTGTTGACCATATGCGAACGTGTGGCTGCGCTTTTCTATGCCTACCAGCTTTTTGTCCAGATGCCACCAGCTCTCTGCTCGGATGAACCTGCGCATCAAGCAGACATTCGATGAAACTTGTTCTACGTTGAAGTTAAGTTGCATTTCTCTTGACTAACAAACAGATGAAATCCTGGATCTACATTTTTCTACTTTGACACCTGTCTGTTTCAGGTTTCTGTAACATTTTTTGCGTTATCTAAGTTTCAACACACTGAAGTCAATTACAACGAAGAGCATAATTATAACAATGAAATATCGTGAACAATTTGAACTGATATAACTTTCTAAAAAGAGGTCTCGTTTTAACTCTTTGGGATTAGGTTGAAGTTACTCATAGTCATACAATTCATATTTCAATATTTTTTTATATTGAAAAAAAAAACTCTGTGCAACTTGGGCTTTTGTTTTCTTTAAAATCAAATGCCTCAAAGAGTTGAAGAGGCCTCTATTCTGATGGTTGCCAATTTCTGAGGGCACATTTCTCTCAAAAATTGTACAGATTCAAACGCAAGTGTAAAATCATTTTCCAAACAAGCAAATTCAAGGGATTGACTAAGCATCACGATTTCAAATGAGACTAAACGGATCCTTTTTTTTTAGTTACACCAGTTTTAAATTATCGACAATTTCCTATTGGTCATTGGTACTTAGTTTTATCATCTTTGTCCTCTATATACCTCCATACACGTGATGTCCTCCGTATGGCCCACATAATGCCGTTGTGCATTTTCCTCTCTGTCGAAGAGAACAGCCACGGCAGCAACGTAATACAAAAGTTCGCCGCTCGGCAGAACCCAGAGATTTCGTCGGGTATCGGTGCCCCGATATCCGTAAACCCATTCAAGCTGAAGCTTCTTGTCCGGCGGAGAGTTGTCCACCGGTGGCAGGTGGGAAGGTGGATAAAAGGATCTTCTCAGTCCCCGGATGGTCACTCTGGCCGGCTCGTCACGTAGCACTTCGACCACGCTGTAATCTGTTTAGGGGGACGGTGTAAACGTTTAGTATCGTTGCGCACGGTTCGACAAACGGATGTAACGGATAAACAAAGAAGTATATGGAGAACCGTTTACTCGGACGACGTCTGAATCAGGGGCGTACAAAGCACGTGGCCGGCTTTTGCTACGAGCTCGCCTCTGGCGACCACCGATGTCTTCGACCACAGCAGGCGGTCCACGTGATCTGGATCTTCTCGCCGGGGACGCGGTAATGACAGCACCGGCTATACCCATCCCCGACCCGGTGCCCAGATAAAAAGTGTCCACGTCGGCGAATTCATTCCTCAACTGCGAAAAGCTTCTCACCTGTCGAAATCAGCGCTATCTGGTGGCGATTATAAATTTTCGAGGATGTGCTTTCGAGTGCAGACGACGCGATTTATCAGCGAATGAATGGAGAGGATTTCGTCCAAGATCGTGTGTATGTTACGAACGTCACTGTGACGTAGACGACATAGAGAGAGACAGAGAGTGCATGCATACGATGATGATGCATGAGGCAGTCGAATGCTCGCTAAGGGAAATTGGCCAATTTGAAATTCATATACGGTCGTGACCTGAAAACATGGATCTCTGACCTTTTTTACCCCCCCCCCCCCGGGGCGTGCCTTCGACTTGCGACGAAGTCACGATCGGCGAACAAACACACAATCGTGTTAATCGTGTTGTGGTTTTAGGTTAGGAGAAAAATCTGTATCGAAAGGATTGGAAATGATGATGTTTATATGGGAAGTTAAACCGAAGAAGAAGTGAAATGGATTCTCGGACGGTGGACAGAGGATTCTTTTCTTGGAGACGATTCAAGAGGTGGTTAATCAACGACCCTATTCCGACCATATTCACTGCGATGAAGTCGACCCCGATATCGTCACGCTTCTGGGCCCTCCCCTCCTCCGCCAGGCGCATGCATATTTATGGACAAAGCAGATTATTCAAGCAGATTTTATAAGTACGATGCCGAGGCAATGTCTTCGATTTGCATAAATCGCTGATAAACTTTCGCCCACGTTTTTCGGGTCGTTTCTCACGATCGATCAACGGCGTACGTCGGAAAAAAAAGAAAATGTTTACCTCTTGACCTGACACCGTGAACATCCTCTTAGCCCCGTTCATCTTCAACACCTGTCCAAGATCTTCCAGCACCTCCTCGAACGGTTGCGAAGTGCGGAGGTTCAACAAGACGCGGCACTGGAATTGTTCGGATGCTTTGACTGGTCGAGAAAAAAAAAAATTTTTTTAAGTTTTTCGTAATTACCTGCACGGTGTGATCGTGGTTGTTAACGATTCGTATGACACGTCCGGATGATGGTTTTCCACCTCCAGGTGGTGGTGCTTCGTCGCTGATGGAAGCTTTCCTGCTGAGACTCGCCACCGCCGGTGGTCTGCTTTGCCATCCTCCGACGCCACCACCGACGCTTGCTCCACCTCTGCTACCACCTCCGGTCGGGCTCGTGTACCAGGTGTTGCTCTTCTTCCCGTAGCTGGCCGGCTAATTAGATACAGATATTCGTCGTTGGAACATTATGACTTTGATTGGCACTTTACATCACAAAATGATCTGCTCAACGTTAATTAATAATTCAACATTGTCAAGTAAAATTGGGATTAGATTTAACACGTTCCGTGCCAAGCCATTTTTGCCTTTTAGATAAAGTTTAACGTGTACCACCGGTGGTACACATGGCACGGAACGTGTTA